ATGATTATATCACATAGAATGCTCTCAGCTTCAAGTACTAAAAAAATCCAACAAAAACCAGCCATATCAAACTATTAACTCACTTAACATAGAAAGTCCAGGGGAGAGCAGTTTCAGGGTTGGATAATTCATCTGTTCAATAATATCTTTTTTTTTTTTTTTTTTTTTTTTTAAGACAGTCTTGCTGTGTCCCCCAGGCTGGAGTGCAGTGGCACAATCTCAGCTCACTGCAACCTCTGCCTGTCAGGTTCAAGCGATTCTCCTGCCTCAGTCTCCTGGGTAGCTGGGATTACAGGTGCCTGCCACCACACACGGCTAATTTTTGTATCTTTTTAGTAGAGATGGGGTTTCACCGTGTTGGCTAGGCTGGTCTTGAATTCTTGACCTCAGGTGATCTGCCCGCCTCGGCCTTGGAAAGTGCTGGGATTACAGGCTTGAGCCACTGAGCGAGCTCGGTCCAATAATATCTTAAGTAGCTGGGCTGTCCCCTTCTTTTTCCCCTGCCGACTTTAGCGTGCTGGCTTTTGTTCTCCAGATGGTGTCCACAGTTCTAGGCATCATCTCGGGGTGCAGCACAGCCTGTTTCATCAACACTGTATGTTTGTGTTTCAAAGAAAGGAATTTTGCTTTCCCGGAACCCTGCAGAACACTCTCTCTCCATGCTAATGAGAATGGAAATTGTCGTGAGTAGTTTAGGTTGGGCCATCCGAGTCCTGGCTGTACTTTTGAATCACTGGGGAGCTTTATAAAACTATGGAGGCCTAGACTCACTCCGGATAAGCTGATTTAACTAGACTGGGATGGTTCTAATGGGCAGCCAGTGCTGAGACCACTGGCGTAGTTTAATCACGATTCCCTTACCTTGGCGGCGAGAGGCTCAGCTGTCCCTGAGCACGGCCCACCTGGTGCCTTTAAAAATTAGGGCTCTAATACTGGCAGGAGGTCCAGAGGGATGGTCATCCAGCAGTCAGACAAGCACGTTTCTACAACCAGTCAACTGTACTTTGAGTCTTTACTTTTTTGCCTGGAAAATAGGAATTATAAATATGTGACTTGCAAGGTATGCCTGCGGGGGTTACAGCTCAGAAAACTCTGGAATGGGTCAGGGAGAATTCAATCTTAGCTGTTTCTCAGATCTCCAAAGTTCACAGAGATACCATTTTGTCTTTCCCCCACCCATTTTTTTTTTTTTTTTTTCTCTCTCTTCTGGGGCTTCCCTCTTCCTGACTCAGAACAAGGCCTTGGGGTTGGGTGGTGGCAGGGAGAAGGTTCCAGGTGACTTCTCGCTGTGCTTCTAAAGCAGCATTATTCACGGTAGTTAAGATACGAAAACAATGTAAGTGTCCATTGACAGATGACTGGATAAAGAAAATGTGGCGTGTGTGTGTGTGTGTGTGTGTGTGAGACACACAATGGAATATTACTTAGCCTTAAAAAGGAAGAAATCCTGCCATTTGTGATAACATGGATTAACCTGGGGGATATTACGTTAAGTGAAATGTACCAGATGCAGAACAACGAATATCATATGATCTCTCTTCTATGAGGAATCCAAAAATAATCAAAACAGAGAGTAGGTTGGCAGTCACCAAAGGGACCAGGGGGAGATGTAGGTCAAAGGGTACAAAGTTGCAGTTATGTAGGATGAATAAGTCTTGAAATCTAATGCACGGCACAAGGACTGTATAACGTTATTTTATATACAGATGCTTCTCTGACATAACCCTATTGAAGCATGCTGAATGTGTATCACTTTCACATTGTCATAATGCTGAAACATCTTAAGTCAAACCATCATTAAGTCAAGGACCATCCGTACTGGAAATTTGCTTAGAGAGTAGATTTTAGGTGTTCTTACCACACACCCTAAAAAAGGTAACTCTGTGAGATGATGTTATGTTAATTGGCTTGACTGTAGTAATTATTTCACTATGTGTATCAAAATATCATGTTGTACACCTTAAATATATACAATAAAGCAAACATACCCTGACATGGCCAAATAACTAAGTAAATATATGTTTTATCCCTTCATCTCCAACTGGCTTTATATCTCACTATCCAGCAAGGGGAGGAAAACCAGACAGCTTTTCTGGCCCTCTTGTCCTGGACTCCCTAATAGTTACTCTTGGGGCTGGAACCCAGTGTCTTGGTTGTCAGAGGTTTTCATGGAAGCTCTCTGAAAATAAGATTTCTCCAAAGGGTTTCTATCACAGGCTTGCAGGGCCCTAGTTATTTTACACATCAGTGCTCTTTTTCCCTGGCTGGGGAGGGAATGACGTAACACAGTCATGCACATCGGAGACTCGAGCCTGGCTGCCTGGTCCTGCCCTCTCCATCAGAGCCCTTGACCCCTTGAGATTTTCCCCCAGAGTCCAGTTTTTTGTCTTTCTCCCTCCAGTTTGACCTCCTCTGGGGATTCCCAGCCCATCAAACATGTATGTCTGAATATGTGTTTCCACACTCCATTCGCTGCCCACCATGTGCCAGATACCACCTGAACCTTGAGAACACAGCAGTGAACAAGATTGGCAAGGGCCCTGCTCCCATGGAGCTCACACTTGTGTAGGGTGACACCAGACAGTGAACAATAAGCAAACCAGACCTAACATCAGGTCAGACAATGATAAGAAAATAAGAGGGGAAGGTGGGATAGTGAACCCTTGGGGTGGGTGGGCTACTTCAGAGGGGGCCTCGGGCATCATCACCTCTAAAGGGAGACATTTGAACTGAGGCCTGAACAGTGAGAGGGGCCCGGCCACAAAGAAGTTGGAGAAGGAATGTTTCAGACAGAGGCAACAGTGGGTAAGGCCTCCAAGGTAGAAACAAACTTGGGGTGTTGGAAGAACAGTGAGAAGGTTGGTGGGCTGGAGTAGAGTAGGGTCCAAGTTCATTTTAACAGCACACGTGGAACTTAGGCCAATTTCAGGACATGACTGGACACTTATGTTAAGGCTTCCTAAAAGATAGTGTAACAGTTGGGAAGTTACTAGATGTTCTATGCTGGAAGCCTTGTCTTCCCGGAACACATGAGACTCTCCCAGTGACGGCATTACCTGCTTGCCTGAAACCATCTCACCTTCAACTTTAAGGACAGAGACATCCAGTTTAATGTCACGCTGGTCTGATTCATTGTGATTCCATTATTTAAAAACTGTGAATCTTTATTTCCATTGCAGCCGTAGAAGTTTTTCCCTACATTCCAACAGTTGTCTTCCACTCTAAATCAAGAAGAGCTAACAGAGCTACGTGTTCTCTGCATTCCTGGGCAGTGCATGGTACTACAAACACTCCCAACCAATGAGCTCTCTCCTCAGTTGAGGATGTTCTACAATGTGGGACTTTGTTTTTACTACTGATTTTGTGTGCTCAAAATTATCAGCCTAGGTCCCCAGTAAAGAGATTGGGTCTATGACCTGGGCTAGTCTCAATGTAAAGGAAGAGGGAATTCACTGCTATTTCCAAAAGTTGGGTGGTTGAGATGATGTAGGCAGTTTCGAGGTGGAGCAGAATTGCGAGGAAGGGGTGCAGGCAGTCAAGGATTTTTCCACTCTGGGTTGGGAATCTGCAATCCCTTTGATGTAATAGCTTGCCAGATGTTTGAACTATTAAATTGTTTCTGGGGTTCAGACTGTAGAACCCATTGAGGCAGAAATGTGGGAACTTGGTAGGAAAACATAAAGATGACTGTGTGTTGGATACTTCAAGAAGGTACAAGGTCCTTTCCAGGGAACTTTTGCTAAAAGCGGATCAGGAACAAGAGGCGAATTACATAACTTTGGTTCAGAAGCCACATCTACCTGTAATCAGCCATCGGAGGCTGAGGAAGGTCAAATTATCTTGTGTCTTCCTTATCATCATTATCATCACTATTAGCAGCAGCAGTAGCAATAGCAGCAGCAGCAGAGTTCTCTGTCACACTCTATTACTAAAGCTAAAGATTGCATGTGATTATAGATATTTATTATTCTGGTAATTGTCATGGTGATCTTTGCAGAAAGACCTGAGAGGAAAACTCCCTCCTAGTCATATCTGGAGGCCAATGTCCTTAAACAGAAAACTGGGGTCATACCCTGAAAAACCTACCAGACCAAGTAATCCAGAGCTGGGATGGGGGCAGGATCTCTTTAGAGTAAGACTGGTCTTCCAAGCCACCTAACTGTCATCTGGAGCTTGTCACTGCTAACAAGTTTCTTCCTTGCTGCCAGCTTGTTCCGTATCACTCAGGGCTATCATCAGTAACTTAGCCCTAAGAGAGGTACAGGAAAGATTTAAAAAAGGAATGCTATGTTGGTGGGGAATCGTTCTCTAAAAGTCTGCCTTGCCAGGAAATTTTAAGCAGTAGGAGCAGAAGTGACAACCACAGCTGGCACTTTGGGTTTTGTGGTGTGAAGCAAAGGCTTTTTAACTGAGAGAGGACTGGTGCCCATTCCTAGTGGCAGCTTCTGCCACTGGAAGCCTGGTTGGCCAGAATGTGATGCTGTGATGGGGACTGTGTCTGGATCCCAGCTGTCACAACCTGGCTTCCAGACCTGAATTCTAGAGCAGAGGGCGGGAAGGCAGCACACCCTACCAGCACACTCATGTTTGGACTCTGGCCTAGAGCAAAGAGCCTGAGTTGCTGTTGGCCAAATGTTGGCCTGTGCTTGTCAGACTGGCTGAAGACTTCCTCCCTGGTCTATCCTTCACCTCTTATGCCATGGTTTTGGGAAGCACTGTGCTCAGCGGGCTGAACTGCTTCTTGCGTGTGTGACTAGGGTACCAGCCAGGTCAGGAATGTCCAGGACTGGAAGAAACGCAGGGGCAGGACAACAGCACAGGCCGATGAGGAGGCTGCCCCACCGGGAGCTCTGCTGAAGGCTGCAGCCTCTTTGCTGAGAGTCAACCACTGTGCTGACTCACCATCCTTGTGGTTGAGAACCCATCAGCAAATTGGCAGCTCTGCTGAACCCTGGAGCTGCAAAATATAGGCCAGGGAACCTCAGCCGGAAGGGATTTCAGTTAGTGACAGGTTTTCTATTCTTATATGGAACTACAAGGGGCCCAAGAGGACCTGGGCATTTCCCTCTCTAGTCCCCGGAAGAACCATGAAACCAGGCCAGGAAGCAAGGCTAAGGGCAGGAGCAGTGTCTGTCTCCAGGGGTCTGTTTGGACTGCTGTAAGTCCTACCTTGCTGTCTGTTTTTTTCTGCTATAGCTGAACCTGGATCTAGCAGGGTCACCATCTGAGTCCTCTGGTGAACTTAGCTCCTGCCTCCCAGAGATCTGGAATGACCTTATTAGACACCTCCAACAATTTCAGACTGGGGCTTCAGCCTGTATAAGTCGGGGCAAGGACTGGGGAGGCAAGAAGGTCAAGGGAGTGAGAGGTGAGAGTTACAATCCACACTGTATTTTATGTCAACAGCATCCCCTGGAGTACTGCAAAGCTCTAAGTCAGATGTCCCAGTGAGGGACACCACCCATCCTAGACTTTCTCCCCTGCCTGATGATCCTTCTAGCAACATCAAATCAGCACATAGCACTGTACTTGGCCATTAAGGTAGTAAATAAATGCCTGGTGAGTGTATAATAGTTTGGTAGATAGAAAGATGCCCACCCCCCTGCAAAGATGTTCACATTCTCATTCCCAGAACCTGTGAATATGCTATCTTAATAGCAAACAGGATTTTGCAAGTGTGGTTAACATTAAGGATCTTGAGATAAAGAGATTATCCTGGATTATCCAAATGGGCCCAATCTAATCCTAAAAAGCAGACAGCCTTCCCTGGGTGCAGTCTGAGACAGAAATGCATCTAGGGGAAATGGGGTCAAAGAGAGGGCCATGAGAGATGGATTCCATGCCCTGTGGTTGGTTCTGAGAGGTAGGGACTCTACATAAGGACAGAGCAAATGTCTTCTAGGAGTTCAGGGTGACCCCAGTTAGCAACCAGAAAGGACCTCAGTCTAACAATCCCACGGAACTCTCAAGACCAGAATGAGCCAAGATAAAGACTCACCCCGAGAGCTGCCTCTAAGGAATGCTGTCCTGCCGAGACATTGATTTCAGTCCTACGAGACCCGTAGGACTTCTGGCCCATAGAACTAAATGATAGTAAGTGTGTGTTTTAAGCTGTTAAAGTTTTGGTAATTTATTAAAGTAGCAACTGATAATTAATACAGATGGCTGTAAAATGGAATGTATTTTGTAATTGAACATAATTTTCTTGCCTCTGGTGTCCCTAGTTTACTTGGTGGTTGCCAGTGGTAGAGAAGTCCTTCTCCATGGTTAGCTGTGTGCTAGTGATGGGGAGGGCGTCCTTTCTCTGATCCCAAGTGCTTCTTGGCACCCTGGGTTTACTTTTCTGCTGACGTCCCCTGGTATAGGTGTTGCTAGAGGCTGGCCTTTTTAGGAAGCACATAGAACTCTCTGCTGCTTCAAAGTCAGTCAGTGGCTCCATCCCAGGCAAGTGCTCCAGACTCATCCCATTTATTAATCATCTATTCTGTACAAGAAACTTGATGAATTTTATTTCCTTTAATTCTAACAACTATATGAATTAGGTAATGTTATCCCCATTTTACAGGAAGGAAAGCTGAGGCTCAGCGCAAGTGAACATCTCACCCAGGGTCACTAACAAGAGCTCAGGGATTGGAACCCAGGAGAAGATGCTTCCCTTCTCTTCTCCAAGAGTCCTTTTAGGGCTGGCAAGTTGATGCAAGCTGCAGCTCATGCCTTCAGACCATGCTGGGTCCAAGGAAATGCATGGATCTCCTCCATTACACAGTTTGACTCCAAGAGAAGCCCAGAAGTGGCTTCCAGCCCCTCCTACCTGACTGTGCCCTGCCCTTCACCACTTCCTGTCTTCCTGCGACTCAGTGGCAGAGGTGTCTGTGGGGGCTGCTACCTGGGAAAGTCCACCAGGGGGAGTGCATGGCAATCTCTCCTCTCAGATCCTCTAGGGGCTCCTTTCCCCACCCAAACTAGGCCTGGAGGTTGATGTCAGTGTGGTGTGGAAGATGTTGGAGAGAAGCTGCAGGTGCCTTCTTACTAGCTCTTCCTGAAAATTTGTCTCTCCCTCTCCTTGTTAGTCTGTTTTATAACTCACACTCCAGCAGGGGGGAAGTAAAGGAACTTATCCCATTCACAGATCCTATAACCCGTGGTGTTTATTACCTCGTAGCTGGTGCAGTGTCCTTTGAGCCTGGCAGTTTGGTTTAGATTCAGGGGTCTATTCTTTGCAGTCTTTTTGGGGTTGGTAGCAGAGAAAGAGAAAACAGGTAATTCGATTACTTAGGTTCTTCGTGTGCGAAAGTTAAAGCCCTACCACAAACGTGTGAGTGGGTGTTATATTGTAATAACCTGGACACCGCCAAGACAGCTTCCTTGGGGCTTTTGTGTCCTCAGGCCCACCCGAAGATTCTCTTCTCAGTCATGTGGGATGGATTTACTTCATCCCTGGCTTGCTCTGGGCCTCAGTTTTCCTATTCTAGGGCAGAAGAAATCTGGGTCATTAAAAAAACAAAAAACAAAAAAACAAAAAACAAAAACAAAAAAACACTCCTGATAGAAGTCGGTTGATGCTTTCGACCTGCAGCCTCCTTGAGGTTAATAGTCCAAGTAATTTCCTCAGGGGCCCTGGCTGGCCTGTTGTGAGTAGACCCATGAAGTGTCTGGATTTGCTGTGATAGGAGCCACCTCGGCTTTCTGTAGAGATAAGCCCTGCCCCTCGTTCCTACTTTGAGCTTGAAAAGTCCCTTATCCAACTTTGAAATGGGAACTATAAAGGGGTTCCTTCTGGGGTTACTCAGAAGAGGAGAATCATGCAGTCTTGGCTGACAGACATCTGAGGTTGGTCACCTGGCACATTACCAGGGGCTCAGCCATGACCAGCCTGCAACCATCCTGCCTTTCCCCAGGGGCGGGGCTCCAGCCGTGGAGGGCAGACTGGAGACTCCTTTGCCTTTCAATACTGTCTGGCCTGTCTCAGGTCCTGCACATCTTTTCTCTAATGATTTTGTGGCTGTGGTTAACTTAGCTAACCTTTCAGTGAAATAATGTCTAGTGGCATTCCTTTACATTTTCTATGTGCTGTTTTTTCCATAATTCAATTTTCTTCAGGGCTGAGTTTGGGTCTTCATTTTTCCACCCACAGGCCTAGTTAAGCTTCACCTTGTGCTCCAACTTGCCTGCCCCAGACTTCTTGGATGGACATTGTCAATCTGGTCATATTGAGAGTGAAACTGCCACCTAGTGGTCACTGGAGGTGTGCCTGCCTTTTTATGAGTTCTCTTGCTACTCGTTACCGGAAACATCAGTTGATGGTTTTCTTCTAAACTAACTCAGAAGCTGTGAAGTGAATCAGACCAAAAAATTTATCTGCTTCAAATCCATATTGTAAAGAGGTTTAATATAAAGAAATATTTTCAAATCAAAATAAATAATGAAGCAACAATCAGATAGGCATGTACTCCTTTGCCAAACTGGAACACATTTTTTTTCTTTGACTAAATTTCAATTCAAATGAAGTCTGGAAAGACAAAACAAATCAACTAACAAACAGCCCAACAAAAACACCTGAACCAAACAGCCTAGCAAAAAGTAGAATGGTCATTTTCACTTATCCAACACAAATATACTTAGTGCTGGGCTGGTTCTGGTAGGCACCCAAGTGTTCAGTGGGTACCCGAGCAGCTCATTATGATATAACGTGGCAACTTAAAATCAGGTGAAGGAATGCAGTGGGAGATAACAAAGAGGACTTGCTAACTCTGCAGAGCAGTGACATTTGAACAGACTTGTCAAGGAAGACTAGATTTAGTCAGGCGGGAGGGATAGAGGGCAGGGAGGGAATTCTACCCCACTAAGGAAGAGCATGTGCAAGGCCTAGGGGAATGAAAGAGAAGAATGAGTTTAGGTGTCTGGAAGAGGTTGTCTTAATAGGTTTCCTGTTGCTGTAACAGAATACTACAGAATGGGTCATTTATAATGAAGAGAAATTCATTTAGTGTATGGTTTTGGAGGCTGGGAAGTCCAAGAGCATGGTGCTGTCCTCCGGGGAGGGCCATCCTATGGCAGGGAGGCAGAAGGGCAAGAGAGGGAGTGTGAGAAAGAGAGGCAGAGACAGAGAGGGAGGAAGGGAAGAAAAGGGGGCCAGGCTCCCAAGATCGCCCACTCACTTCTGTGATGACAGCATGAGTCTATTCACAAAGGCAGAGTCCTCACGACCTCATCACCTCTTACATGCCCCATCTCCCAAAACTGTAACAACAGCAATTAAATTTCAACAAGAGTTTTAGTGAGGACATTGGAACCATAGCAGATGCGTAGTATGACTGAAAAATATCATTAAGTCTAAAGCCTTGTAATGCATTAATTAACCACCTATTTTATATATTTATTGGCTACCTATTTTATTCAAAGTAGATATAACAAAGGTATGAGACATGGAGAAAAATTTAAGATGACATGGAGGTATGTTGAAAAGATGTCAGTTCTTCTCAAATTAGTCTACAGATTCAAAACAAGCCTAATAAAAATCCCAGCAGGTTTTTTTCTTTTGTGGAAATTGACAAGCTATTTCTAAAATGTATTTAAAAATGTGGAGCCAAAAATAGCCAAACTATCTTAAAAAAGATCAAAACTGGAAGATTCATACCACTACATACCAAGAACTTTAATAAAACTAAATGAATTAATTGTTGGGAAACTGGCAACAATTAAAACTGAATGTACATACACCCTCGAACCCAGCAATTCCATTCCTATGTACATGTCCAACAAAAATGCACATATATTTAATAGAGATTTATACTAGATTGTTCAACACAATGGTATTAATAGCTGTAAATGGTGACTATCCAAATGCCCTTCAACCCTGTGGTGTCTTTGTACAATGGGATTCTGTATAGCAATGAAAATGAATGATTTACAATTACACACAACACTCTGGGTGCATTTCACAAATATAACGTTAAGAAAAAAATGCCAGACTCAAGAGAATATACATTGTCCAATTCCATTTATACAAAATGCAAAAATGGCTCCAAACCAGGTCTTACTCTGTCACCCAGGGTGGAGTACAGTGGCATAATCACAGCTCACTGCACCCTCAAATTCCCAGGCTCAAGGATCTTCCTACCTCAGCCTTCTGAGTAGCTGGAACTATAGGAGCATGACACCACACCCACCTAATATTTTTTTAAAAACTTTTTGTACAGATGGAATCTCCCTATGTTGCCCAGGCTGGTCTCAAACTCCTGCACTCAAGTGATCCTCCTGTCTCAACCTTCCCAAGTGCTGGGATTACAGGCATCAGTCACTGCACCCAGCCTAAAAAATGGCCAAAATTAATTGTAGTAGATTCATTGTACTAGCAGCTCTAACTCTATCTCTTAGAATCCATGCCCTTTGCCATATGACTGCAGCTCCTTTCACCGAAGATGTGGAGTGTATTTCCCCAGCAGGGTCAGGACTACGGTGAGACAATGAAGGCAATTTCCCCAGCCTTAAAATTAAGGAGACACCAAAATCCTCAGTAATCAAGAAAAATAATATTTAATGCAATGTTTTTGAAAAATCAAAATTAATTCAAGAAAAATCCAATGTGGACAAAATGTCAAAATTTCAATAAAGACAGGAGCTGACCCTACACTTGCATGACTCAATTTACTAGCCTCACTCTACTAGCCTCACTCACTCTACTAGCCTCACTCTAATCCTGGCTCTGCCAAATCCTGTCTTGAATAAAGAGGATGCCTGCATATTTCTGTTTGTTCTCTTATTCTCTGCTATCACCATGGCCATGCCCTGGCTAGCCTGCTGGAAGCGAGCTGTTCCCAACCCCCTACATGCAAGAGAAAGCCTGTGGGGGATCTGTCACAGTGGTGGGAAAAACTATAGGGAAAGGACATAAACCTTCTGAAAGGTTGGAAGATCCTGCAGAGCCCAGGGGTAGAATAGCTGAAAGCAGCTGTTCTATAACCCTGAGGCAGAGGGCAAGGAGTACAAGGAGTAGGTACAAGGGAGTGTAGGGGAATTTGTCTTAAACAGGCTTGTTTACTTATGTTGACCAGCAACTGACCTTTGATCATCCCCACACCTGTCATTCCCTGGAAGGTGAACAATAAATGTTAATTGCCTACAGATTGTGTTGGCTCCAGGTTTTCGGCATTGTGCCTGCACTGAATAAAAGCAAAGCAGCTCCAGCTTCTCCAGGCTGCTGTCTGGCCACGAGAGTCAGGTAGTCACCTAGCTGCTCTTACACTGCATGCCTGTGTCTGAGTACTCATCCATCGGCCAGGGTATGCAGGACAGACCTGACAAGAGCCCAGCCAAGATGAACCGACTTGCCTACGCAACCACCCCAGGTGAGTGAGTGATAAAATACTGAAGTTTTGTGATTGTTATGCAGCAAGAGTCGAATGATGCACTGAACTATGTAGTTAAGGGTCAGGATAGAGGTTGCTTTTGGGAGAAGAGGCATGAAGTGGGCTTCTGAGGTGCTGCTGAGTTCTATTTCTTAACCTGGGTGCTAATTACACAGTTGTATTCAGTTTGTGAAAATTTTATGTTTATGACCTGTACACTTTTCCATATTTTTATTTGAAAAAATTTTAAAGGGTGGGTGATGTGGCTCCTACTATTTTTTTCAGGGACAACTTACTGAGATAAGATGTATAAAATAAAAGCAACAAGCACCAGAGACTGAAATCAAAATCCAGAATAAATTGAATTTGAACCAATATTCGGAAAATCTTTGAAAATATTTATTTTGGACTCTATCTGCAACTATTTATGTGAAACCACTTAGAATTATTTAGGCCATTATTTTTAAATTCTGTTAAGCTTGACACAATCACAGCATAAGAATATTCTCTGAACCAGTATTTCATTTGGTTTTGGGTTTTTGTTGAATTCATCTTTACATGTGGCTTTACATTGGCATCATTTCAATACAAATGAGACTAATGTAAATTATTATGATGGTTATTTTTCAACCACATGATACTGCTAATGTCAGTAGGCTCGGCTTTTTTTTTTTCTTTTTCTTTTTTAGTGGAGTCTCCCTCTGTTGCCCAGGCTGGAGTGCAATGGCACAGTCTTGGCTCACTGCAATCTCTGCCTCCTGGGTTCAAGTGATTCTCGTGCCTCAGCCTTCCAAGTAGTTGCGATTACAGGCGCCACCACTATGCCTGGCTAATTTTTGTATTTTTAGTAGAGACAGGATTTTACCATGTTGGCCAGGCTGGTTTTGAACTCCTGACCTCAGGTGATCCACCCACCTTGGCCTCCCAAAGTGCTAGAATTACAGGTGTGAGCCACTATGCCTGGCTGGCTTGGCTTTTCTATGCACAGAGATTAGATATAACTATCATTGAGCATCAATCCAGGAGCAAGTTATTATCCATCCAGTCAATCAATTACTATCTCATGCCTGATGGGAAGAAGCTGGCATCTAATCAGAACGGTGATTTTCTTGCTGTGGATTCCTTCTTTTTCCAGCTGTCTAGAATTGGCTCTGAAGTGGGTGGGAAGAGCCTGTCATCAATTTGATGTCAGAGAAAGTTCTGTTTTAAGAATTGAGATAAAAGGAGGAAAATACATAGCTAAATTATAGCGTTTGTGCTGTCTTCCTCCATCTCCCAAAGGAATAACTTCTAGTTGCTTTTCAGAAAGACATGCAAACATGTACGAGTTCTCTGGGGGAAAAAGACTTCTATCTAGTACCAGATGGGCTCCCTGCCCAGGTGTTTCCTATGCACCTGGGCCTGGCAGTGCCATGGCCCGCTTTCTGCGGCAGATGAGGGCCAGGAATGGTGCCAAGGACTTGAATTACAGGAACTCATGTAATCTTTGTAACACCTCTATGGGGAGGCACTGTCATTATCTTCTCTTTACAGACAAGGACCCTGAAACACAGAGATGTTGAATCACCTGTCTAAAGTCACACAGCTAGAACCTAGCAGAGCTCATATTGAGCCTGGCTGTGTGGCTCAGGGGCTGTGCTCTTATCA